GGGAAAGAGACGGCAGTCCCAGTAATGCCAGAGGAGGTGCACACATGACCAAGGAACATGTCTAAGGAAGCAGTGGTAGGGCACTCACGGATGTCCAGCTTTCAATACATGAAAGCATAAACTAGAAGAGGGCTTAGGTGCAGGACCCATCCATGAGAAAGCCCACCAACTTCTTTCAAATTTTTAGGCGAAACTTTCTTAATGAGAACGTGGAAGATTTGAGGGAGAAGAGAAAAACTTCTTAAAAAGGAACTGATAGAAAAGTTTTGTCCAGGCTTATAGAGCACAGAAAACTATTTAAATAGGAAGACAGCCTTTAAGCCACTAAGTTTGAGCTTAGGAAAAATACACCTCCTGTATACCTCCTGTATATACGGAGGTGTATGTGTTTACTGTTGCTTACAGGAAGTATCAACGACTTTAAAAAATATATGCAAAGAATTTGCAAAAGATCAAGACCCAGACAATACAATGATTCAATTTGAATATCTTGATAAAAACTAAAACTTGATCACATTTTTTTGGGGGGACATAAGAGGAACTCACAGCTTGCAACTTAAAAAGAAAAGCAAAGAAACCCATGAGAAAACAAAACCAAAAAATTAAAAACAAAGTGAAAAGCAAGAGTAATTATGCAGGCTCCAATACACATCCATATATTCTAAAACCTGCAGACTCCAATATGCATTCATATATTTAGAAAGATTCCTTTCTCAATTACATTGCACACACATGTGATCCCATGTATATAAACACACACACCAGCTGTATTTTCTTCCCTACTTACTTTCAGCAAATGTATCAAAAGAGACAACACTACATATATTTTCTCCAGGTGCACGCTCATGCAGAAAAAAGCAAGACAGTCTTAGCAAATTATATTAAAGCTCACATTGCACATGCAAGATCAGTCCCATCAAGTACTTCAAGAAAACTAAAACCAACCTCCCCCAACAAAACTCCAAAACAAAACCTCCTGATAACATTGCCAAATCCTAGCTGCTTCTTACACATTACTGAGAAACACATCTGCAACCTCGGACTTTCTCTCTGACAGATTTCAAACTTCTGCCATCTACTAACTACTGACATGCTTGAACTGTTAAAAAATGTAATTTTTTTTTTTTAATAATGGGGAAAGTATTTTTCACCTCTCATTTCTAAAACCAGCTGGAGCAGTTTGGCATAAATGTTCAAAAAATATCTCAACTAGTAAAGGACTGCCAAATTCCAGCAAGAAAGGTAAAACGACTGGGAAGGACAAGCCACTGAAGATCTTTTCTTAAAATGGAAACACTTGTGCAATTTCAACTCCCCATTACAAGCATTATTATGTCCTCCAAAAGTGAAAAACACAAAAGCTCTCTTTCAAGTGGACAGTTGGGCTATGGTCTGAAGGCCTCTCAATTTCAGTCTTACTTAGGAAAAATCAAAGGAGTTTATCTTAATGAAGACAGAGCTTAAAAGCATCAGGTTCTGGTTTAGTGTAAAGATTTTCCCATATCCTGCAATTTTTAACACAAGCATTTTACAAATAAATACAAACAACTTGTATTTCGTACAAGCTTTAAACTTTTACTGATCCCCATTTTTCTTTAGTCTATTTTCTGTTAGAATCTGTGCAAGACACGCCACAGGCTCAGGATTAAGAAATAATAAAAAAAAAAAAAAAAAAATCAACGACTACACACACACACACAAACAAAAAAAATCCAATTCAACCCCCTTTCAACTTACAAAAACGTGCTTCATAGGGACCATAAAATCCATGTAATTACCTGCTGCAGGATCTGTAACCGCTTGACTGGTGATGCCAGATGGTGGTTCTTGAAGCTGGTATGTTGCATTTGTGGAGGGTGTCGTTGGGCTGGTGTTGCTGTTTGTCATGTAATGTGAAGGATATGGTGAGCTATTATAATACTGTGCATACTGGCCCTGGCCAAAACTGGGATAAGAAGGATATTCCTGCAAGACAAAAAAGCAACTGAATAGGCCATCAAAGTTTTGCTACTTTTTAGTATAAATTCCAAAATATAACTACAAACACATGTTAGACTTTCAGCACATATGCTTCCTGGACTGGATGCTATAGGACCTAAAGCTGTGAGACAGTAAAACGAAATCTAAATTACATGTAATTTAGTACGTCTTCTCATATGAATAGTTTATTAGGCACAGTACTGAAGATGTGTGAATAAGAACATCAAACCCAGACAATTGGTGCTATTATTGGAAGATGATGAATTGAAGAAAAACATTTATAAACATTAGTTTAACTTGAAATGATGTTAATTTCATTCAAAAAACTATTTAGTTACGTTTTTTCAGTGGATGATAATTCTAAGTTTGCCAAAGTTTCCTTGACTCATATTTACAAATTTACCTGCTGTGAACTATTAAATCCAGTAGAATTTGTGAGTGAATTATTTCCTGCATATATTCCTGATGATGTTGTAAAACTGCTGCCTGAAATGAAATGAAAAATTACGTGAATTACTAAAACACAGTATTGGAAAATAACTTCCATCATGCGATTATATCATAAGGACATGGCATATTTGTAATATTTCCCATATGTTGACCGATTTGGTTGTCATCAGCTCTATAACATGTTAATATAGGGAAAGTGATAATTCATTGTTCCTACACCCTGTGTTTCATTATTGCAATAAAAAGAAAAACGTGAAATTTAGACAGGAATTTGGAGCCACCTTGGCTCTGACTGAATATTAGGCTATCCCACTCCTCTGAATAATCCCCAGCGTTGTGGAAGTAATGAGGGTTTCTTCATGTTCAGTTTTTGTTGAACAATAACTGCGAACCTTGTCCCGTGAGACACCGTCTCTCCTCACTGAAGCCCACTGGCTCCGTTTCTCCTACTGCCTTCGAGAACCGGGTCCTCTCCCCTCTGTAAGCCTCAGCGCCCAAAGGAACAGCAAAAGCCATAACTCCCTGCTCCAAACAGCTCAGCCCAACTGCGAAGCCATTAGGATTCGCTAATCGATCATAGACAGCCTTGGGCCGCAAACCTTTTTCTTTTTCGATAGAGTCTACCGGGCATGACACACGGCAAAAAAAGTGCCTTTCTGAGAAGGGAGACCCAAGATTGAATTTAGCCCAGAGACTGAATTACCGCCTTCACCTCCCTCCTCCCCCCACAAGCCACCAAAAATAGACAGATGGGGCTCTTGTTTAATACCTAACCTGAGTAGCTCTTCCACTAAGAGGGCAACAACCCCCTTTCAGCTGTTTTGCCCTCACTGGTTATAACCCGGGAGTGACACAGCCACCAGCTGAGACATATGGATGCACAGGGTGAAGCTACATAAGCCAACAGAAGGTCTGTCATGAGGCAACCTATTGAACTCGTCCAGCAGGAGAGCACCAGCCAGCAAGGAGCTTGCGCTAAAGCGTGCGGGTTGTTTACAGCCCCCCTCGCCACCAAAACCTGCTTGAGTGCAAAGATATACCAAGACCTTGGGAGCAAAAGCTTGCAGGTGAGCAAAGGAGGCAAGGAGGGATGGAAATCAACAGGGAGCCAGGCGCACAGATGCACCAATCCTCTGATGTACCCAACACAACTCAATTAACAACCAAATCCTATGCAGCGGTTGCTCATTGGGAAAAGCAACACTTCTTGCAACTGCAAACAGCGAGGAATGCAGGCAGGGCTGCATGCTTAGTCCAACCCCTAAAGGGCATTTGTGAGCTATTTACTTTTTTAAACAAACAAACAGAAAAACCGAATAGGCATCCTAGCTATAAAAAGTCAGAAGGAAAAATATTTAAATGCTTTGATTGCAAAAGTTACTAAAAACTCACACAAGTTAAGCCTCAAAGTAGATGTGAAATATGTCCAACAGCAGTGGCAGTAAAAGATGAAGCTTAAACTTAACGTGTAATAATGACTGTAAACACTTCTCTTGTATTTGCTATTAGTGCAAAAGCTGTGGTTGTTGATAGATGCTACTAATCCTGTGAACTAAAATCAAATTACTTCAGCAGAAGAGTTGACATCCAAGTTTAGCAGATAGTACAGATAAACAGTACTAATGAGAAAAACATGTTGTTTTAAATTTAATTTAAAATTGGAAAACAGATGTTATTTTTTATTATAACAAACCCCAGAGCCAAAATACAGCTGAAAAATATTTTAAATTGCAAAACTTTGAAATGCTATTTTATTTCTACGAGCACTTTGGTTGGAAGAATGTAAGTCACTGTGTCTCTTTATTTCTGTAGTTGTTTCTGAGTGATGCAGTAATGCATTCAAACACAAGATTTATAGGTGCAGGGTTTGAACCATTCTGAAAAGATATAAAAGGCCTCTCGTAGTTATAAGAAAAAGAAAAAAACCCAAACTTTTTTTGATGAATACATTATCTTTCCACAGAAAGTTTGGCAAATAATTTGCAAGAGCAAATGAGAAAAGTAATTACATGCCAGCCAGCATCCCTCCCTCTCAGACAAAGACACACACATACTAACACGCAGATCTCGCTCTTTCATCTCATGGTCAGCGCTGGCTCCTATGGAGGAGGGGTAGGGGTCTCCTAGACCGTAACAAACACGAAGCAGGTTTCTCAGAAACAGCTCTGTGGGCCACCCAGAACTACCGGCCTAAAGTTGTTTTTAAAATACTCCAATTTTGCCATTTGTTTTTTAAATAATCAGCTGCGGCATGGCATAGAGCTGCTGTTCCTGCCTTAGCTGAGCAAACACAAAAATAAGAATCTTCACAGAATGCGCAAGATTTACGGCCCCAAGTTCGCCTGCTACGTAGCTTTAAAATGTGATAAAAGCTGTAAATTGCAGGTCAAAGGTCTATTTTGCAAAGAGTGCGGACCCACATTAAAGCTGGGAATCCCAGTCAGCGTCGGAAGATGGCCGGACCCTGCTGGGCCCAGGGCG